ATATAAAAAAACTGTGAGGAACATTCCTGTCTTCATGTGCTTGTACAATTGTTGCCTTCAGATGAATTCCTGGAAGAAGGACTTACAGATCAATGATAAGAACCTATTTTTGAAATGGTTTTTTTAAATGAAATAGAGGTAATAGAACAAACTTAGGGGGCATGCTAATTTTTTAGTACTCTGATGTAATTTAAAAATTTTTAAACCACATAAAACTCCAACTATTTTATTTAATATCGCCAAATAATTTAAACAGATGGTTTCCACATTCCAGCCCCTTCACACCATGAAAACAAATAGGTGAAAAGCATAGAGATCCAACATTGATTTGGAAGACAAGACATATCCTAATTTCAAAAACATTTTTATTATTTCTTTAATCAAATGAAAATTAAAAGTTAAGCAGAAAAAAAGATGGACCTGCATTTTTATTCTTCTGACTCAAGAAATACATGTTCATTATAGAAAATCTAGAAAATACATAGAATAAATAAAATATGAATTTCCCAGAATCCAACTACACATAAGATAGCCTCACAGTTTTACCATTTTCTACATGTGTGTTTTTTAACAATTTGGTATTCTCCTCCTCTCCCTCGCCAACCCCCCCCCAAATAAGTGGACAAGGCAGCTCCCTGAGGGCCACTGCCTGTGCCATCCAGGACACCATTTCATCCTCACTGAGCTGTGGCCTATTTCTTTGCTTACTATCCAGATTTCTGTATAAGTACATAACCCAACCAAAAGCTTTGCCAAAGCCCCTCTTCTGCCAGAAATGCCAACACCTAGACTAACAGGAGAACTCACAAGGCCAGCTTCCATTTTCACTACAGAGCCAGTCTCTTCCCCAGTAACACCCTGAAGATTTCTCTCAGCTGACCAACATCTTAAGCAGTAGCTAATACCTCTTAAAATTTATGTAGCACTTTAAAGTTTAACAAGTTCTCACACATATTTAATCTTCACAAGAGCCTCTGAAGTAGGCATAGCAGATATCCTCCAGGAAAGGAAACCAAGGTGCAGGGTAGTTGAGTAAAGATCACAGCTAGTGAATGCCAAAGCTTAGATTTGAAGCCATAAATGAACTCCAAGGTCACAGCTCTTCACCTAACAATTATTAACAAATTTCTAAGTCTGACAACTAGCCTTGAGTCAGAAGGATCTTCAATAAATCATCTAACCTAATTCTTAATATTCACATATAAGGAAAATAAGTCCCAGAGAAGTTCGGTGATTGCCCAAAGTCACCAGCTATTTTGTAATGAACAGGATTCTAAAGGCGCAATCTTCAGACTCCCAGGCCAGTGCTCCCACCAATTGTCCCTAAAGAGATGTTCTTTAATAAGCCAGTCTCTCATCCAGTGTCTTCTGCTTAGCTAGACATCACCCAGGAATTAAAGTCCTCAAAGTGTAGACTGTTAGAGCCAGAAGGGGCCTTCACCACCGACGCCAAGCCACTCACTTTACAGATGAGGAAGGTAAGGTCCAAAACTCACAGCTTTTGATGGTCAAATCTATGCACTTCCACTCATCATATGACTTTCCTTCTCAGCAATTATAAACACAATGTGGACAGACATTACTTCCTTCTTTAACAACTCAGTGTGTGACAGGCCACAGATTAACAAAGCTGAAGTGAAACTAAACAGGATTTGAATCCAGAAGTTGCTTCGTTGTGAGCAATATCCATTGCCCACCCCCACCACCCAAAACTGACTGTATCACAAAATGACCTCCTTCTGCTGAGTACTAAGCAGGCTCCCCACTCTGCACCATCTACCTCCCCACCTACTGAAATAGATTTCTTAGTTAAGGGTACTAACAGCATTTTGGAAGTCACTCATCTCTTTAATTTGTGAAAATGTAGCAATACTGTTTTGCTAAAGGCTTCTACTCCACAAAATGAGCCGGGAATCTAAACTACAACTGGCAACACATCACCAGGGCTGTCACAGTTCACTGACCCTCCTCACATCCAAACCAGCTAGCTCCTAAATGGATGTTCCCTGATTCTTCTTCAGCATCATCTTTCTAAGGAAATGGAAAAGCTCTCTGAGGACAAGGGACCACTTCTTTCACTGAAAACATACTCCACGCCAAGTACTGCGCTTTGCAGGGTAAGATATGGCCCCTCACCTTCAAAAAACTTACACAAGGATAAACAGAACCATGTGCAAAAACCAGCACAGTCACAGAAGTGTAAACAGAAATCCCCGGAGCCCAGAAAGCGAGCACCTACTGGTGGGTGGGGTGGCTGCCGGTGCTGTAAGGGATCAGAGCCCTCAAGGGCCAGTGGAATCGTGGGGCGGGGGAGGCGGCGGGCAGGCCAGAGCGGCAGCAGCACCGACACAGG